GCGGGATCTGTTACAGCAGAGTCGTGTCTTCTTGGGCATGTCTGAGCTAGATCAGGAGACCATCGTTGGCCGCATCACGGAAGCGTCCCAGGGCTCATTCCTCTGGGGGAAGCTCGCCACAAAACGGGTTCGCTACGAGGAGACTGAGGAGAGCCTCCACAAGGCCGTGGATGCCCTGTTGAGTGCCAAACTTACTCTTGCCGACTTTGTCCTCCAACTTCTGCAGGGACCCAACGTCACTGAGGATGCAAAGCACATGTTGCTCTGGCTTGTTACAGCCGACCGGCCGCTTCTTTTAAAAGAACTCGAGCTTTTGGCTTCTATACAGGTCGACAAGCTCACGGTGGCGGACCGTAAGCTGGACGTATTGCAAGTCTTGAAGCCGCTCAATGGTCTGGTATTCGTGCAAGATGGTCAGGTTTTTATTCGTCATGGCCTCTTCACAGCCTCCATTCTGGATATTTTTAGCAAAGGCAAACTAGTTTCGACCGTCAAAGACCACCACGCCGATCTCGTGACTCGCCTGTTGATCTACATCCGGGCAACGGTGACGCAGGAGAACGAACTCTCCCTTGTATCGCTGGACTGGCACGATACCGACCGCCTCATCAACAGAAATCCCCTGCTCGAATTCGCCGTGCGCTACTGGGTGCACCATGTTCGGCAAACCTCAGCGTTCACAGCCAAAGGTGAGGTTGCAGCAGCGAAGGAGTTTGCCAAGGTGCTACCGGCTTCGATCACGACCCTGCGACTTGAGAGCACGCTGTGGGAAAATGCACCTACACCCACGCTGCTGCTCTACTTGACCACTGTCACCAACATCTACCGCCAAATGCTGTCAGCGAATCATGTTGTAACTCTTCAGTCCATCATCTTCTTGGCTCTTTTGAACCAGCGCCTTGAGTATACCTCTGAAGCCATTCCTCTATTCTATGAAGCCGCCACGCTGAGCCGCACGCTTCTGACTTCACGCCATATCGTGACAATGCAAATGGCTAGGACCTTCGTCGAGTTGACCCAGCAGAGAACCACAAGCACCAAGACCGAGATTATGGTCAAGAGAGAAGAAGTCCTGTTGCTGTTGGTTGAGTGCTACAAGCGTCACTATGGAGAGCATTCTGAAACTGTGGTCACAGTCCTCAGGCAATTGATCGACCACTACACCCTGATCAAGGAAGAGGAGAAGGTCACGGAGATCACCGCTACAATTGCGTCCATTACCACCCACCATGATCGTCATGGTTCCAGTGGTGCTAACGGAGGGCTGGAGATTCATCTCAACAGGGGCATTGACAGAAAATCTGATATCAGTGTCGGGTTCTCGCTGGATTATGAAGAAGGCGACGAAGTCATCCAAGAATCTGAATCGTACGAAGTTGAGGAATGGATCAAAAAGGCCGAGATCTACGTGGCCGAAGGCAAGGTCGAACTCGCCGAGCGTACTTATGTCGAGATCTGGCAGCGGGTGAGCAGAGAGTACCGCACTCATTACTCTGCGTACTGGGAGGAGCGGAAGATGACCACTGTGCTGGCGTACTCCAAATTCCTCGTGTCTCAGAAGAGAGCATACGAGGCATCCTCTGTGTTGTCCAGTTTGTGGCAAGAGTATGAACAGGCAAGCATCTCGATCTCCGAAACTTCCGTGTCCTACTTCCAGGAAGTCGCCAAGATGATGAAGGTCGTTGGTATTTTAGACGTGGCTCTCTTGGTCTACAAGCGCTGCTCAAGATACTATGAGAGCGTCAATTCAACCCACAGCTCGACGTACAAGGAGATTCAGGAGAGCATCCGGACGACCTCGCAGGAGGTTGTCAAGTCCTTCAGTTCTTCGAGCACGGTCATATCGGAGACGACCATCGAGGAGATCTTCATCGGTGGCTCCAGCTCGACCGAGACCATTGAGGAGACTTCATTTACAGCTCTGCATCGGTCCCTTGAACTGTATATTTCGCAGCATCGCTGGCAAGATGCTACGCGCCTGCTCAAGAAGATCCTACGTCTTGTCTGGCCTTCTCTCTTTGCGCCATCGGTTCAGGACGTTACCCTCCCTGAGAAGCATGTCGATCATTGCGTGGAACTTGCTGCCCGTCTTGGTCTGTGCTATCATTCCCGGCGTCGCTTGGGCAAGGAAGAGGACATCCGCCTGAGGGTGTACCGAGCAGTCCGTGCCGAGAGGAAAGTGGAAGACAAGCTGCGTGAGCGCGCTACCACCGAATTGCTTCGTTTCTTCGAGCACACCTCGCAGACGGAGATGATCATCAACCTCCGACAGGAGATGCTGAGCGATTATATTGAAGCCTACGGGGCTGGGCATGAGCGTGTTATCAGGATTCTCTGGGTCCTAGCCGAGCTAACGCGTCCTCGTCCAATTTTCATCGAATATTACCAGCAAATAATCCGAGCGTTGAACAAGGACTCGCAGGTCTGCCATCCAGAGGCCATTGAGCCGATGGTCATTGTGGCCACCGAGCTGTGGAACCAAGGGCGCTATCTGGACGCCTTGGCCTACTACAAGGTCATTTTCAATACGTTCCTGACCCAGCCCAAGCTCGGTCCCAAGTTCCAGGTCCAGGAATTTGTGCAGGAGCTTTTCGAGCGCTACACGCGCTGCTTGCGCAGCGTCCACGCAGAGTTCACTGTGCTACACAAGGTCACTGTCGAATACCGAGCTCGGTGTACGGCAGTTTTCGGTGTGACTGCATCTATTACCATCCGAGCCACCCTGACTCTCGCGAAGCTCTGCCAGGAGTCTAAGCGCTTTTTGTCTGAAGCGGTCACTCTCTATGAGGAGCTTCTCAAGATCGAATCCGCGGAGCTGGACAGGGATGAGATTTCCGTGACACTGGAAAGCCTCTCTGAGGAACAAGCAGAGTCTTCTAGCTCTTCCGCTCACAGTGAACGGACTTTCAAGGTCATGCGGAAGCGCATCACCACCGTGCGTGAGATGCATGGATGGGCCCATGAGGAATCTCTGACTCGGATGAAAGAGATGATCACCATCTACACTGAGCGGAAGGAGACTGAAACTGTTGTGCGCGAACTCACCGAGGCGACCGTGCAAATCCTCATGTCCGAAACGTCTGCCACTCGCTTGATCGCTGCAGCCAGCACCATCGCGTCCTGCTATATTGAAGCGGGCCAGATCCAGAAAGCAGTCGAGCTCTCGCACGAGATTTATCGGCAGATTGTGATGAAAGAAGTCGTCAACGTGGAGACTGTCCAGTTTAATCTCTCCTCCAAGGAGCGCAAGAGTCTCACATTTTTGGCGCAGCTCGAGTATATTCTTCGACGCAACACTTCGGTCACGGTAACGGAGATTCTTGCCGCGTTGACCACGGAGTATGTCTACTTTGAGGAGTTCCGGCGCCTTATCACGTCCAAGAGCAGCTCCATCCAGACTCTCACTGTGTCTGCTGCTCGCCTGTACCACTTCCTGGTTGCTAATGGCCGGCAAGCTGCGGCGGCCCGGGTCTTTGATGATTTCTTCGGTTATTTCGCCGCCACGGAGGGCAAGCGTGTCGAGCTGACCGAGACGTCGCGCGTCAAGATCCTGGTCATTACTATCCTGGACCACTTCAGCACCCATCATTCGCACAACTTTGTCCGTTCCCTTGGCATTGCAAGCATCCATCGGGTGACGGAACTTCTCAAGGACCAGCGATATGAAGCGGCTTGTGATCTGGCGCTGGCCAGCTTTAAATACCTATCGGCTCACGATTCCTACCGGAGCCCTGCTGTCGTCAAGTTTGCCTTTATCTTGGGTATGACCATTTCCGGGCGCGATGTTGTCCACCGCCCCGACGACGCCATTCGCGAGAAGCTCCTGAGTGTGTCCGCAGTCATCATCCAGGACGCTCTCCGTGTCATCGACGGACTCAAGATCGACCTGTCGCAGATCGGCCTCCACCACCTGAACAACCTCATCGGCCTGCTGGGCGAGCAGCAAGACTACCAAACTCTGGCTTGGCTCCTGAACAAACTCTGGAACAGCCGCGAAGCTCAGCGTACCTGGAAGCCATATATCACGCTTGCGCTGGGCCGCCGCCTCGTCTTGGCCCGCTACCTCGTCGGCGACTCGATGGCGGCGCTGCGCTTGGCCGAGGACATTGTGTACAACTGCCGCCGCGTGCACGGTGCCTGCCACCCCGCTACACTGGATACCTCTGTCCTTTTGTCCCAGCTGTACATTGGCGTTGGCCTGCGGTACCAGTCCCACAAGAACGGACAGGAGATGGCCAACCGGTACTACAAGAAGAGCGCGGCGCTGCACGAGAACCTCCTGCGCATCTTCGGTGACCCCTCGTTTGCCGAACTGGAGTGCGGTCTCGACAACAGCATGAGCCTGGATGGCTCGACGTACGATCTTGACATGGGCGAGCCGGTCGGCCACGTTCCGGACGGCGAGAGTGTGCGTCGGCACATGTACCTGCTGAAACTTGCCGTGCAGCGGTTGGGTGATTGGCCCAAGGACTACAGCGAGTATGAGCGGCTCAATGCGGATCTCTTCCGGGAGTTTGCTTCTGATCTGAAGGGAGTGGAGGGAGTGGAGAAGTGGGATCTGAAGGCTTATGGGGCGGGCAAGGCAGAAGGGAATGCGGATGTGTTGGAGACTGAGTTCAAGGGGTGGGAGTTTTTGGAAGCGCCTGCGCCAGTGGAAGGGTAATCTTTCTTCTTTTGTAAGTTGAGTTGTAGTCTTCTTTGCCTTTGTATATGTCCTAAATTGCTTAATATGTTCTCAGATGCAATCAGTATTCAATTATAGTTATACAGCAGTTCTTCAATACTTCCTTCTATTCATGTAGATCTATGCATTGATGAAGGAATGAACTTGTTCTTGATGTTCTGGTAATGCTACTGGATACATGCTATGTCTACGTAGTGTATAACTGAATCACCTATCACATGATTGATGCCTTATATATTTCCCTTACCCTGCACAACCAGCTCACTGCAGGAACTGCCAATACATACAGCAGAAGACCCAAGAATCTGTCATTAATATGGACCCAACAAACGACCAAAAAGAAACACTCCATTCATTATGCGGCCGCAGAATCGTCCGAATTGGCAACCACCTCGTCATTAAGTCAGGCAATCTCCGCTCCCAGGAAGCCCAAACCCTCCGTTTCATCGCAGCAAACACCACAATCCCCGTCCCCAAAGTGCATGACATCCACTGGCAAGACGGCCAAATTGTGTCATTTGTAATGGACTACATGCCCGGCCAGCGCCTCGACGAAGCATGGGATACGTTAGATTCCACCCAGAAACTCTCTATAGCTGATGAGCTTCATTCCTACATCAACCAACTCCGCAGCCTGAAAGGCGAGTACATCGGGGCTATCGATCACGGCAAGGCGAAAATCGGACAGATCGACTCACTCGAAGGCGGCCCCTTTACTTCCGAGGAGGATTTTAATGAGTTCATCCTGAGTGATATCGTGCCCTCGGCGCCGGAACTACTGCGCCATTACGCTAGGTTTGCGCTTATGGATGGTCATAGCATTGTGTTTACGCATGGTGACCTCGCGCCGCGGAATATTCTGGTCGATGAGGGGCGTGTTACTGCGCTCTTGGATTGGGAGTATGCGGGGTGGTATCCGGAGTACTGGGAGTATGTTCAGGCTCTGAGGCAGCTGAGGCCGATGAAGGATTGGGACGAGTATTTGGCGAGGATTCTGCCTCCGAGGTATGAGGGAGTATATAGGCATGTCGTTTTTGGGGAGGATTTTGCGGCATTAGCTTTGCAGTATGGGTACCATGCAACGGTAGGATAAGGACGGATTCATTGCTATGCATGACTGAGTAGTTCAGTGAGCGGGATACAAGATTAGGGCTGACGCATAAGCACTACTGACCTGCCGATCCAGAGCTTAGTGGTGGAAAATCAACAAGAGTGTCTGTGATACTACGTAGTAAGCTGTAGATGTCAATCTAATACTCCAATCGGCCGGTCTAACCGATCTCATGGTGTTATATACAAGTAGTGCAGCCGTCGATGCGGGGAATCCATCCCATCCATCCTCCATCCTCTTCCCATACGGAGTAATACCATTACCATCACCATGAAACTCCACCATCTCTTGCTGTCAATCATCCTCACCACATCAACAGCCACAGCTTCAGCCACAGCTTCAGCTAAAGCTGAAAGTGAAGCAGACTACCTCATCATCGGCGGCGGCACAACCGGCCTCCTCCTCGCCAACCGCCTCTCCTCGAATCCCACAACCACCGTCCTGATCGTCGACCCCGGCAACGACACCCGCACCAACCCCAATGTCACCAATCCAACACAATGGCTCCGCAACGCCCACACAGAGATAGACTGGGCCTACCCCTCCACCCCGCAGTCTTACGCCCTCAACCGCACCCTCTCCTACACGGCTGGCCGCATCCTAGGCGGCACGAGCATGATCAACGGGATGACGTACCTGCGCGCTGACAAGCCCGAGATCGATGCGTGGGAGGCGCTAGGTGCTAAGGGGTGGAATTGGGGGAGTCTGTGGCCGTATTATTTGCGCACGGAGAAGTTTAGTCCGCCGTTAGCCTGGCAGATTGATGCTGGGGCGGATGATGTGTCTTCTTTTCATGGGAAAAGAGGGAGTGTGGATGTTTGTTTCTCGATGGAGTTGTCGACGGCGGGATTCTGGGAGAGGGTGAGGGATGCGTGGGGGCGTTTAGGGGTGAGATGGAATAAAGATCCGAATGGGGGGTCGGTTGAAGGGGTTTCGGTGTGGCCGCAGACGATTGATTGTCAGGAGGATGTGAGGTGTAGTTCTGCGAAAGCGTTTTATTATCCTGTTGATGGGAGGGAGAATCTGAGGGTCGTTCGGGGGACTGTCAGAAGGATTCTTTGGGCTGACAGTCGAGAAGGAGGGGATGTGGCGGTGGGAGTGGAATATCTGGATGAGAACGGGCAAATGCAGACTGCAATGACCCGCAAAGAAGTGATACTCTCAGCTGGGGCGCTGCGGACACCTCCCATCCTCGAAGCATCCGGTGTTGGCGACAAGGATCGACTCAGGGGACTCGGGATTGAGACGCGAATCGACCTCCCTGGTGTAGGAGAGAACCTGCAAGACCAGCCGAATGTGCCTCTGCTATACGCGGGCAATCTCAACATCTCAGGGACCTCGCCATATGCCACGTTTGTAACGGCATCACAGCTTTTCGGCGAGGACGTCGAGGATATAGCTGCGTATGTCTTCTCTTAAACGTTCCAACACACGCTGACACTGACAAACAGAGCAACACTCTCCTCCATCCCAACCTGGGCTGAATCACTCGCCTCATCATCCAAGAGCAACCTCAACAGAAGCGCAATACAGCACATCCTCATCCTCCAGCACGCCCTCATCTTCAAATCCAACGTCACCATCGCAGAAATCCTCACCTCCGCATCCGGAACAATCCTCCTTTCGGCCTTTTGGCTCCTCCTCCCTTTCTCCCGGGGCAGCGTGCACCTTTCCTCAACAGACGAAAAAGACATCAACGCACCCAGCATCGACCCGAACTTCTTCCAGGTGGACTTTGATCTACAGACCGAGATGGCGATAGGGAAACTCGCGCAGTCATTCTGGGAACAGGAGTCTGTAAAGAGTCTGAGCCCTGTTCCGATGCCCGGACGGGGGTTGGAGGGTAATGCAACAGACCCCCAATGGACGGCGTTTATTAAAGAGACTTGTGAGTTTGCATGCAACTGGCAGAAGAAAAGAAAAGTGCGTACTGATTGATTATGATTAGTTGGGCCGAATTACCACCCCGTCGGGACGGCGAGTATGATGGCTCGAGAGCTGGGGGGCGTCGTCGATTCAAGGCTCAAGGTCTACGGCACGGAGAATGTGAGGGTTGTCGATGCGTCGGTGATTCCGTTGCAGGTGAGTGGGCATCTCACGGCGACTTTGTATGCGATGGCCGAGCGGGCGGCGGATATTATTTTGAATGGGAGATAGTCGACAGCTTAAGAGATGAAAAGAAGAAGATGCATTCCCTAACTCCATCCAGGTATCCGTAATGTAACAAGCCTAGTAGATAAACACTTTTGACCTTTGACTCTGCGTAAATGCTATGCTCGCTGCGCTCGCGCGCGCTCTATACGGCCTGCAACATATCCAGCATCCCCTTGGTCTGACACGCCTGATGCGCCATTTCCACCTCCTCGCGCACCCGCCGATGCAGCCGCTCCACCATCTTGTCGATCTGCGCCGATTGCCCCAAATTCCCCGAGTAGATGTCCAACACGTTCATGGCGACCTCCACGCACAGCGTCACCAGCCGCGGCTCCGTGATGTTCTTGTGCACCCACTGCAGCACGGGCTGCAGCGTCTCCTCGTCGCGGCCCTGCAGCGCAGCCCGCAGCGCGGAGCGGTGCCGCAGCGCCGTGAACAGTGTCAGCTGCGCCGTCTTGTCGCTCGACGCCAGCACCTGGTCCAGCGCCGCCGAGTACCGCGCCTTGCGCAGGTCGTACTCCCACGCCTGCTCCTTCTTGCGCTTCTTCTTGTCCTGGCCCTCGATAACGATCTCCACGCCTTCGCCGATGAAATCCCGGCCGCGCAGCCGCTTCTCCCAGCCTGACCCGCGCAGTTTCTGCTGCTTCGCTACCTTCCGGTCGTGCTCTTCCAGCTTGCCTTCCAGCAACGCCTGCATCTCCTTGCGTCGTTCGCGCTCCCGGATCTTCTGCTGGCCCGACAGCCGGGTCTTGATGGATAACAGACCGGACTGCATGCCCACGGCAACGTGCTTGTCCTCCCGCGCGACACCAGACGTAATCACCCGCAGCGACAGGATCGGAGACGGGTACTTGGACCCAGAGACAACATTCCACCCAGTCGTCTCAAACACCTTCATGTGCCCGTCCAACGCACCACTGAGCAGCCTCTCCCCATTCGACGCCAACGCCAGCGCCGTCACCGTCTTCTGATGACTCTGAATCATATGCAGCGGCTTCCCCGCCACAATATCCAGCACCGCAATCTTATTCTCCGCCGAAGCCAACAGCGTCGTCCCCGTCGGCATAGGCAACACACTCTCAATCGGCGCCGCCATCTTAAACGTCATCACCGCCCTATTCTCCACGCGCGGATCCCAAAGCCTCACCGTCCGATCGTAACTCCCCGAGACCACCAAACCCGACGCCGCCAGCGAGCCAGGCATATACGCCCCGCTACGCACATAGTCCGTATGTCCCAGGAACGTCCGCGCGGCGCTCTCGCTCGGCAGATCCCACAGCCGCACGGTCCGGTCATCGCTGGCGCTGAGCACAGAGGTCGGATCGCTCGGCGAGAACTTGGTCACCCACACCGGCTGCCGGTGGTCCTTCCACGTCTTCAGGATCGCCCGCGACGCGACGTCGAAGACCTGCACGGTGCCTGTGTCGTCGCCCGCCACGACTACCCGGCCGTCCGGGCGAACGTCTGTCCCGCGTACGGTATCGTCGAAGCGGGTGATTGTGCGGAGGAGTTTGCGGGTGCGGATGGAGTAGATCTGCACGCGGGCGCCGGTCGTCACGGTGAAGACGTCGGGCGGCTGGGTGAGGGACGGGAAGGCGGAGGCGGACGAGGGAGCGGACGGCTGCGTGATGAGATTGATGGGACCGTTGGCGGGAGAGGGGATGAGGAGGGGATTCTTGAAGGTCTTCCAGTACTGCTGCTCGGGTGTCAAGCGGGTTGATGGCAGCGCAGGCAGCTTGACCTGCTGCAGGGGGAGGACGGGGGCAGCCATGGCTGCTTCCGTTGACTAATTATCGATCGGAACGATATCGATTATCAAGTGAGTTGAGAGAATATTCGTTCTCGGTGAGTGGCGTGGTGTGTTGGTTGAAGCCGTTGAATCTGGTGATCTTGAAGTTTTTTATCACATCAAAAAAGTAAAAAGTTCTATCGCAACGCCGATTGGCAGATACCGCTAGTAATTTATCTGTATTCATTGTGTATTGGGCGGTGTATCAATACATCTCCGGTATTTTATATTGCTTCTGCCTGAGGCATCAATGAAGCCCTAAATATCCAGATGCCACTATTTCTACACATAAAACACAACTATTGGAAGACTATTAATTCCTAGAGCTCCGAGCCAAGTGGATACTGCCTACCTAAATTCTGGTGACAATGCGGCAAATGGAAATTTTACACAAGATCTACAGCTCCAGACCACACCACTTTGCTAGAGAATGGACTATCCAGAGCACAATGATCTAGGACACTAGCAGATTGACTCTATTCAAGAAAGCTTAGAGGTAGATCAAGAAGCTAGTGAGTCAAGCTGCCTAAATGAGATGCTTGGCGCCAACTAGCTGCATTCTATTCAACAACAGTTGAACTCTCAAATTGCCATAAGCAGTAAGACAAATACAGTCAATACTGCAGAAGTGGCTTACTCGGCCAATGAGCCAGCTATGGAAATTATGGCAAATATCAGTTGGCTCAGCTGATCTGTGTGGTTCGGAAGACACCGGTTCAATGGGATATGACACGCGGCCCATATGGTCTGTCATTTCCTCTTCAAGGCGTCGTTTGCCTTCAATAGTAGATGCCGATCTAGGCGAGAAGCTGTACATGTCATTCTGTGGCTTGCGCACCTTCAATAGTGGCATATTCGCTGCCCAGCGTAGAATCGGCGTGAGGGTCAATAAGCCTATCTAGCTTCCAGAGAGCGAATATAAATACCTCCTCCCTCTCCGTCGACCTGGATAGCCGCAGCCGCGCATCTATATCTCCATCTCCATCAATACATTCTGCATTGCATTGCAAGCGTTGCCAGTCCGTCATCATGCGTTTCTCCATCCCCGCCCTCGTCACCCTTACCATGAGCGCTGGCCTCGCATCAGCCGTCAACCTCCCCTCCACAGCCTGCTGGAACCTCCCATCCGTCATCCAAGGCGTCGACGTCGAGCGTTTCTTCGGCCACGCCCAGCAGGAGATCTGCAGCAAAGGCTGCAAAGTCAAGCTCTCCGAGTACGAGCCCAACCTGCGCAACCTGGCCATTTCCATGATCGAATCCGAAACCCCCAACATGGGCACGCCGCACCTGAACAACGCCTACACCAGCGGGGTGGACAGCATTATCGACCTGGCCCGGACGCAATGCGCGGCCGGAGAGGACGACCTGTGCGCCATGAATACCGCCGAGCTGCAGTCTCTGGCGAAGTGCGTCAAGGCCAACGCGTGGAGGGTTTTCCTGGACAACGCCTTGAGTCTGTGGCCCGTTCTGACGACGAATTGCCAAACGCAGTATGACTTCTTTTCGAACCCGGCCTTGTGGGAAGAGAAGGTCCCGACCTATTTCCGGGGATTTGCCGAAAACTGCGAGAAGAACTGAGTCAGTCGGGTTTGTCAAGATGCTGGTGAGGCTGAACTTCTGAAGGCTGATGGCTTGCAGGATGTCGTCGGAGTTTGTGGAGATATTCGGATTCCCTACAACATAATTTAATTGGCAGCCTTGTAATTAGTGCAACGGACTATTTGAATATACATCGTTAGTTGAACAACTCGACGGATGAGCGACAATTTCTGTCGATCCAAGGATCTAGATTCTAGTAATATGAGTGGTCGCAACCTTGACTCTGAGAGTGCTGGCTTACGGAGTAGATGGATCATGGCTGCATAAGCGGTGTGACAGGATGATCAAGATGATCGTCAATAACTAGAGATCCTGCACCTGGAGCTATTGATAGAACCTCCAACGCCGTCGTACGGATGCACGGGAGGACCCTGTTTTTCCACTGAGCTAAATTGTTGTGCAGACAGCTTCTAGCTGCGTAGTCATAATAGAAATGATAATGCACATTGGTCAGAGTCTGCTCCTGAGAAGTCTGCATTGGACGTATCGAGTTCAAAGACTCAGGAGATAGGAGAGCTCCATATTGCTTTTTCTGGTTCTTTATTCCAGCTGACCTGTAGAATAGCATTAGCATACTTGGTAGACAAGAGGCACAGTCAGTTATCCGCTACTTTCGCAATGGCTTTTACTCTAAACACCAGCACAATTTCTTGCGTCGTCTGTCTTTCAAACAGCAAGAGCGTAAAATAGTTGCGCTGCCGCAACCATGCATATAAAATCCATGATGATGAAGGCGTTGAAGTCGAACTGGGCTCGAGACCTTCTGATGAAGATTGCCCGACAAGGTCCGATCCCCCATCACGTCGCATTCATCATGGACGGGAATCGGCGATTCGCGCGAGCGCACGGTATGCCAATTGAGCAGGGTCATGAACTCGGGGCGGCAGCAATGAAAGAGGTACCGTGCAGGAACCCAGTACCTAGATCTGTGCTGGAAGCAGTAGCCTGACTGACTGACTGACTGACTGACTGACTGACTGAAGGTTGTAGAAACCGGCTTTATCATCGGGATCAAGGTGATTACACTATATGCGTTTAGCATCGAAAACTTCAAGCGACCGAGAGACCAAATCGAGGCCATCATGGCTCTATTACGAGAGCAGATCGCCATGTACTCTGCTCCCGGCGGATTTGCGGAGCAGTTGGACTTTTCAATTCGGGTGTTGGGCCGCTTAGAGATGTTGGACGAAAAGACTAGAGACGCAGTCGAGAAGGCAGTTGAGGCGACGCGGAATAGGAAATCAATCTTGAACTTGTGTATGGCGTACACGTCGCGCGACGAGATGATAAGAGCCATGCGACGGTGCGTGGAGGAGTATCCTCACACAGCCATCACGGCGCAATCGCTGTCGAACAAGCTGGACACGGCGGACAATCCGCCTGTCGACCTCGTAGTCCGATCGTCGGGTGTGTATCGCCTGAGTGACTTTCTGCTCTGGCAGTGCCATGAGGATACTCAGATTCAGATCATGGATGCGACGTGGCCGGAGATTGGGGCCTGGGAGCCCTTTATGGTGTTGCTGAGATGGCAGAGAATGAAAATGTCCAGCAAAAGGCGTAGCAGCGACTTAGCTACAGCTAGATCGCAGGTCATGGCCAGCTCTTCCATCTGATCCTCGGCAGTCGCTTGTGCCTTACCGCTTCTCTTTTCGTTTTTGAGTGCCTTGTCTTGCTATTATCTCCTGGCGACAGTATGACCTTCAGCAAGCGAGCGTAGTGCTATAACTCTAATCTGTGACGATATCTATCTACATCGCCGCGGTTTCATTCTCTCATCCCTATTAATTTACTGTCTATCGTGCAGCGAATTCAATGCATTGGCGAGACTCACGCCATAAGCCATCTTTTCCTTTCAGCTTGCTCTTTGTCACACCAGGCAAAGTCGAGAAAGGCCTTATCAGTCAACAGAGACATCGTCGGGGTACAATCAGCGCAAACATAGCATCCAACAGTGATATTTCAATGAGAGGCATTGAGACCACAAGAGCCTACTGCTTTAAACTATTCGCGAGATGCCTATAAATTGGAAGAAAGAGCAATTATATATTCCGCATTAGCTGTCATACAGTAGGAGTGTCAGAAGAAGCAAATGATATACTTCTTCAAGGGGCCGTGCGCATGTTCAGACCGGCTGTCATATTTACTCATCTGCCTTCTAAGTTCTTGACACTCTTGTTTATATTCTTCTCAGAACAATAGGCAGTGAGAGATCTTCATCTTCCTACTCTATTTCACATGATTGAAGTGCAAGGTAGAAGGAGGTACAGTCATGCTTAATCCCTGTAGGGTCCGTCGTGCTTCATGCACAGTGCATTGACATATCCCTTACATAGATGAACGAGGCATGCTTCTCTGTCCATGCGGATTGAGCATGACACATAACATTCCTCGCACATCCACTACGGTCAAGCAGGTGCTCATGGTTGACAGAGAAGATTTCCAGTCTCAAAATGGAAAATGAAAATGGATGGCTCCAGAATTGACCTACCTCTTCTCTACAAATCTCGAGGGCGCTTCCGGTCAAGCTAAGCCTCTTTCTCGACACTTTGCACGCCGTAGCCAGACGAAGGATATCAGACGTAATCACTATATAGAGCTCTACAGAACAAGTAATGCAACGGCCAAGCATTGCCCGATGGCGCAAGGCTCGATTCATGCAGAATCCTACCCAACGGGCCCCGCATGTCTAATGATAGCGGAGCAGAGACTGATCAGGCAATATAGTTTTTGTAGTTAACGTGCCGAATCGAATCCACTCTGTTGTGGCTGTGGACGGAGTTTCAGACAGGCAGCAAGATTCTGGTTCTAATTGCGTCTGTCAGCTTGCGATATTGGCATTGAGTATATTCGGAAGATGACCAGGCTCAACTTGTATCTTTGATCTTTTCTTTCAACAACTCCATATAAGTCTGGATAGAATACAGAGAGAATAGCTCTGTGGATGGACTGTTGTGGTTTTGATAGATGGATATATGTGCCCAAGGCTGCAAGGCGATCGTTGTGGAGAACTCATGTGGGACTGGTAATAATCAGGTATTAGGTATGATTGCTGTCTCAGTCCGGCCCATGATCGTCAGCTCTGGAACAGTCTCCCTGTCTCTGCACTCGATACAATCTCGAGTCAGAATCATTGGATAATAACCATCGTCTGGTACGGATATGACTTCCTTGACTACAGAATAGACTTCTTTTTTCGAGGTGGCCAGGACGAGCTGACAGAAGCGAGACATGTCAGTGTCGATTGTGGCTGGGAGTTGGAAACAGGACGTAAAATACCGTAAGGCTGTATTCAGATCCGAATTTCATGCAGGAACAGTTTGTGTCAGCCAATCATACCTCGCAAATAGATTACTACCAGCCTCCTCCCAGCCTCCCACTATATCCACCCAACCAATCATAACGCTGGCCCACCATATTACGACGTATGGGTTATCGCGATCTCACCCGCTTTTGCTTATCGCCTTGTTTTGGCTCTGTCCTCCTCCTCCTCCTCCTCCTCCTCCTCGTCGTCCCCTCTCAGCTCTTCTTCATCTTTCCTTTCTTCTCTCCTGCATCATTTGCAAGTCAAGCGAGAGGTCGCTTGCTCGTTTATCCTCCGCTTCTCGCTTGGCTTTTTCTTCTTAATTCCCATCCTGCAGCATCGGTCTACAATCAGTGCTTCTGATTGATCAATACTACTTGACCTTCACGAGGCCCCTCCACAGGACACCACACACTCTCTCTTCGTCAATTGATGGTTACATAGCTTTTCTAAATCCTATTCAATCTTGTCCCTGAGGTGAACTCTCTTTCAGAGAGAAGTTGCCATCATGGCTTCCAAACTACCCAGGATAACCAATATCAACCATGCCGCCGGCATCTATGCTGACATGTCGGTGGACGGTCCCGCAATCGGCACGCTGGTCGCCGTCATTGACCGCGCGAAGAATCTGCCGAATAGAAAGACTATGGGGAAACAGAATCCGTACTGTGCTGCGCGATTAGGGAAGGAAGCTAAGAAGACCGAGACTGACCTACGGGGAGGACAGACGCCGAAATGGTATATCGCCCCATTTCTCTTGAGTGGTCGAACCATGCTGACTTCGATTAGGGACCATGAGCTTCGATTTACAGTGCACGAATCACCCGACTACTTCAGACTCAAGGTATCGATCTTCAACGATGACAAAAAGACCGACCTGATCGGCGAAACCTGGATCGATCTGAAAGACTTGATCATCCCCGGAGGAAGCCAGAGTGACCAATGGCATCCGCTGCAGTACCGAGGAAAGTATGCTGGTGAAGTTCGCATCGAGATGACTTACTACGATACCAGGCCAGAAGACGAGGCGGTGATTGAACGGCGCACGCAAGCCGCCGAGAAGGTCCATGCCAAGAGCAGTGGTTCGAGACCGGTCCCGGCCGCTCCTGTCAGCTCATCGTCTTCTCTGTCGGGCCCTCGCCAGCTCGAGAAGGTCAAGAGACGGCCGCTTCCTAGCGACCCTACCGCCTCGACTCCTGCGCGTCCGGGACCCCCCGAAAAGGCTCCCTCGGCGCCTGTGCCGTCTCATCCTGCCCCAGTGAGACCAGTTCATCACGAACATGCTCATTCTGTGCCTGCCATGAATGGCGTCGATCACATGCGCTATGCACAAAGACAAGTATCTGAGGCTCCATACGATGCATATGCATCCGCGTCGCAACCTCCGCCCCCGGCAAGGGTGTATGACACGCCTGACGACTTTCATCGCGAGTGGAATCACGCGGCGCCGGCCCATCCCGCACCAGCACCTCTAAGGCGGCCTCCACAAGAAGAGAGCTATTCGTACCGTGAGAGACCCGATGCCTATGACAATCGGCAACATGCACGGCCACGTTCCGGCTATGGCAATGGACCGGCTCCAGATTACCGCTCTATGCCACCAAGCAGACCAGAGTACCAGGCCCAACCAGGGCCGGACATGCACCCAAGACATGCATACGAATCGACCTCTCGCCCCACCAGCCATCACAGCAACCGCCAATTCCCCGCGCCAGAACAGTACGGATATGAGGGAGACGCTCTACGCCATGGACACGAAGCTGCTCAATACTCCCCTCATTCATCTACGAGATCATACAATCACTCTCCCGTAGATTACGCGCATGGCGCTCCTCCGGCCCCGGAGCCGGAACATCACTACCGTCTGCACAGCAACTCGGTTGCGAGCATCAACAGCCGGCATCGCAATTCCATTGCACACGACACCTTCCACCCGGAATATGCGGCCATGCAGCCCCGCGTGGACGACGAAGAAGAGGAGGGACCTCCACCTCCGCCCCCAGCCCATCGGTCAGGCCTGGTCCAGCCGAGTCAACAGTTAGTACCGTCACCAGCTTCCTCGTACAAGGCTTACTCTCCAGAGTTTGCACCGTCCCCCCGCAATACCAACGATATGACCGCGCTCCAGCCGCTTCGCCCGTCGCACGGGAACCGCCTACAGGACCACCCTCGTATGATGAATCCATCGGTACCGCGCAGCCTGGTCGCCGGCTTTGACCCGGCCATTGCCGAGGCGGAGGCCGCCCGTGCTGCCCAGGAGAGCCAAGTGAACCGGCGGCGCAGCTTCTTCGAGGAGGATGCCATGGTCCGGACTGCCGAATCGAAGCCTGCATCAGTACCTTACCCTGAAGACACCGATCCCCGGCGTTCCTTGGTTCTTAGGAAGTCTGTCAGTTCCGAGTCTCGCATCGTCCCTCGGCGCAAGTCGGTCAGTCCGCGACCACCCTCCACGGCGGAACGCCAGGTGTCCCAGATCCCCTTCTCACCAGACTCGTACGACGCGCTGAATCCAAACGCGGCACGATCTGCCGTCACACGCGACACAGCACCGGCGTATGAGACCGTCGCGCAGGCGATGCAGACGGCCCGACTCAATGAAATGAAGCCCGATACCTCAGGACCGATCATCGGTGATGATGGCCGCGAGATCGATCCCTCGGATCATCTTCCTTCTGACACTTGGGCGCCCGAACCGGAACGCAAGAACCGAAAGCCCGAGGTGATTCTCCGCTTCAAGCATCCTTCCGCCAGGGAAGTTGCGGGACCCCGTCCCCGGTCCAGCGGGACATCCACTGTTGCGGATTACCCGGAACGTGGTCGCCAGGAGTACGGAGGATATGGACATGGACGAAACTATAGCACGACTGAAGCGGCACGACCGCGATCTTCGCACCGAAAGTCCGTCTCGCCAGCACCGAGTGCGCGCTCCTCGCACTCTGTTTCTAGCCTGTACGCCAACGTCGGGCCACCCATCCCGGCCAAAGTCCCTATTGCACCTCCAGCGGGCCCAAGCTACCCGGTAATGGGCGGCCACACCGGCATGGATGCATTGAGCCGGGAGCTGAACAGCATTGACCTGGGGTCTGTGGGATGTAGTGTCGTTCGAGCGCCACGAAAATACGTTCCCAAGACGATAACGTACGCTGTGTGATTATGAGATTTATGAGCATACGGATAAATTGCGAGAAACGGACAAATTGAGAGCAATAATATGGACAAATTGCAACAATGGCGTTGGTTGATTTTGGTTGATTTATGAGTGGCATCGCATGACCTGCTTGTAGCTAGTGAATACATGAGTCAACAATTCTTTATCTTATTCAACTGAGACATCTTCACTACAATGCTAGCACAATGGAATAGACAACCCCCCCAACAACCTATATAATATATCCCATCTCCAGCCCTCTCTTCCCATCCCCATGCATCCACAACCATGGCCCCCAAACCCAAACCCAAACCGAAACCAAAACCACCCAAACAATCCTCCCATCCTACACCTACAAGACAAGAAAATGAACCCCCCTGCGAATTCACCCACCCCTGCACAACCTCCACCCACAGCAGCAACACCTCCGGTAGTGCCAACGCCTCCGGCAAGGGCAGCCACCCCCGCAAACTAATCTCCCACATCTTCGGCCGCAACAAAACCTCCACGAAGCTGTTCCCCTCCAGTGTCTGGGTGCACTACTGCCGCAAGCACTACCAGCGGGCGCGGTACCGATCGCGCGCGTGGCCGTTTACGCAGTGCGAGCTGCTGCTGGATAGTCTGGCGAGGATGGAGGCTTGGGGCGGGGTGGAGAGTTTTGAGGTTGTCCTTCGGAGGAGGGAGGTTCAACGTCTTTCCTCTTCCTTTGCGGAGCAGCAGGCTTCTGATAAGGAGGGGGTGAGAGTGAGGAAGGGGAGACGGGGTGGGACATCTGCTTCTGCTTCTGCGTGTGCTTCTGCGGAGGAGGACGAGGAGGAGGTGTATGCAGATGACGAGGAAGAGTCAGGCGACGGAAAGAAAAGACAGAGACGCAAGCCGCGGATCAAAGCGTGTCCTGTTCCCGAATGGTTGCGCGCCGAGACAGGGCCTGGGAAGACGTTCGCTGAAATCCGGGCGATTGTTGAGCGGATCCGAGAGGATCTCACGGAGCAGCATCGTCAGGCACAAAAGACAAAGACCAAAAACAAAGAGCAGGTGTTGTTCCCGGATATTGAGATCCTGCCGACGTTTCAGGAGTGGGTTTTGGAGCAGGCTAATGAGGATGGGGAGAACAGAAGGGAAATGTCGAGGGTGAGTAGGAAGGGAGCGGTGCAAAAGGTACAAAGGTGATCCAGTAAATGTGATGCGTTCTCATTAGCATTAATCGTGACGCCTGTAGGCTGGTACATACAACGCCGGAGATTATAGAGACCCACAACATAAAAGAAAAGCCAATAACTTGCCAGCCGTGTGCTGCTAAATGTGATATAGAATCCAACCCTGCAAGTCAATCAAGAATGATCCGGAATCAACTCATACCCTCCCTCCGACGGAAGACTATTTCCCGCAAGGATCATGGCCACCGCGCAGAAAAGACTCACGCACCAGCTGACGGTGCAATAAATCCAGGACTCGCCCAGCCGCCAGCCGACGAAGAAACGGTCCTCATTGTCATACAAGTATGCCTGCCGCAAGTGTCAACTACGGAACGAACGAGAGTGTGAGATAGACTTACGACAACCGACATACTCGCCGCCTGCACAAGCGCAGACAGGATAATCAGCAGACTCAGCACCTTCCACCCCGACTCGCGCAGCCGTTTCCCGCCCGACAGCACAATCAGATACGCAACCACGCTCATCCCCTCCAGGACCACAGCAAACGACATAAGGAACCCGACGGTGCGCCACATCGAGCAAAAGTACCGGTCTTCGCCATGGCAGTCTTCGCGCTGGGGGAAACTCTCGCAGACGTTGGTGAGGGACGAGCAGCGACGGTGGAGGCCGTAGGAGTAGTGAAACTAGCCAAGTCAGTTAATCCAGCCTGTCTTCAACCCGTAAAAAAACGTATGCCCACCTTTTCGCTATGATAGCTGACCCATTTCGGTACGACGATGGATGAGATCGTCAGGCCGAATGCTGTGGTATGTTAGCCTCCTAACAGTTGCCAGCGTAGCATGAGATTCAAGTACCACCAAGAAATAGAAGCAAGGTGCAGGCGTAGACGATGGTTTTTGTCAAGAAACCTGTGTAATTCCTGTCTGTTCCTCGAGGGATGAGATGGAAATCCATTCCGGCATACGCGGTCGAATTGACCTGACCAAGCGGATAGTTGTAGCAAGGGCAACGGGCGATGACGACACTGCTGCTATGGTCGGAAGGGATTGGTCAACGCTCACTGACCGGCAGCGAGGGTTGTGACTCAACAGATTATGATATGGAGGTAAGTAGGTCGACGCGACAGGAATGACTGATCGTATTGATTAAGAAAAAGGGCTCGAGTGTCGAAAGCTGGAACCCAAAAGACCGGTCAAGTGGTGAACAAGACGATCAGGCAGGATGAGCTGAGCGAGGTGGAAAGTCCGGCTCTGATGTCGACAGTTCAATCAGTGAGATGAGAGGATTATCTAGGAAATAACTCTAACAATGATAATGAAAAGACAGGACTTGGTAGCAGTCGTTCAAATGATGGAAGAAGGTGGAAACGGAGGAAGTTGAGGAAACTCCCCGATAAATGAGATGAGGCTTGGGAGGAGGATATCTCAAGGCAGCGTCATAGGTACGGTACACACCTGTAAACCTCTCACAAAAGTACGACCATCCCACACAGTGTCTGCTTATGATTCGACCAGAATCACCGCAACATAGTCAAATATGTACTCAGTACTACCTATCTACCCCCGGATTAATTAAGATATCTCCCACTGATGCCGATCAATGGTCATGAGAGCCTGCTGGTGAATTCCTCTGTCCGAATGACCCGTCGATCAACCGAGCCAGTATCATGCCCATTCGCATCCAATCATTGTTCCTTCTACCTGGTCTAGACTCAAGTATAACCTTGCGGTCTGTCGTCGAAGGATAACAGAATTACGGAGAACGGCCGGTTCTCAGACAGTCAAGTCACTCTAAACAGGCTTATCTGGTCGGTCAAAGCGTCAGTCATTGCGGGGGTTGCATAGCGTAGTGGATTGCGGGAAACAGATGAATTAAGAAATTCCCCAACTATGCAGGGAGCAGACCATGCCGACTGTCCTTCTTGCTGCACTGTTGCAGGGTTGTATACAGTTGCTATACTGAGAAAAGTCTGCAGGACAGAGATAGCAATGTTTTTCAATTGATCACATAATGTCGCCTGCCACTCAATGTAGAATAACAGTCCAAGTCATAGCAGAGGCAGTATCAGCAGCCATCACCCAGCCCGCATTATGCCTGCGGTATCTCCCCCGTCAACGGTCGGGTACAAGAAGAAGAATCATTAGATGGGCAAACATGTCGACTCGGACAAAAAACAAAAAAGAAACGCAGGAAAAGAAGTGTAATGGTAATCTACAGACGCCAAAAAAAGCATCGTTCGCCTTTCCATCAGGCGGGCGTAGAATGGCATGATCAAGGAAACCATCACGACAGCGAGGGAACGCTCCGGCTCAGCTCACCATGGCAGGGAACCATTCAGTAGAGGGACATCAGTGGAAGGAGAAAGGGGGAAAAAAACGCCAACCCGGTCATTACAATCCGAAGCGCCGCGCACAGGTTTTACTCTCATTCGCCTTGATTCCGCTGGATCATGGCACGGAAATCATCATTACTCTTCCTCGTCTTCTCACCGCCAACTGGGTGAGCGCCGCTTTCTGTCGTCACATTCGTGGTCGTCATCGTCGTCGCGCTTTTGGCGCCTTCTTCGGCTTTCGTGCTGCCCCCCTGCGAGGCTGTCGAAGAAATGCTGACCCGCTTCACCCCCAATCCACCTCTTCGGCCACCGCGCTGACCGGGTTGCACAGGACGCTTGATCGGTCCGGCCGGCTGGAGGAATGTGGCCTTGTCCTTTGACTTTGTCGCCTGACCGGGTCCCCCCTTCTTCTCCGCCGACTGCTTCAGCAGTTGCGAAACCGTGCCCACATGCAATTTTCGACCCGGAGCAATTTCCTGTCCTTCAAGCTCGAGCGAAGCCTTGCCGGCATGATTAACATCCGCAAATTCGACAATAGCTCCTTGATGATCAGGGCGCAGGACGATTTTAATGAGGGGTCCATAAGGTTCAACCATTGCACGGATCCGCGCATCATTCACCGTGTCGGGAACGTTCATGAGCCCCAGGGTCCGCGCCGAGCGCTCCTTGGCTGTGCCTTCAGGCTCGACAGATGGCGCTTTGGTCCCATTCGCCTCAGCTGCAGGGGATTGGACGCGGTTCACGATAGTGGTTGCAGTTCGTTTAGCACCTTGGGGGGTCGAGATTCGGACCTGTAGCGGGCGCGAGCGGAATTCCTGTTCATGCATAGCAAGGGCGGCTTCTGCCTCCTCCTATTCGAGAGATTAGCTATAAAACTCAGTAGCCGGATGGCCAGAAAACATACTTTGGTGGAGAAGACAATATAGCCAAACCCTTTACTGCCACCATCGACCTTTCTTGGGATCCGCACCGTCTCGATAGTGCCATACTTTTGGAACACCTCCTTAAGGTCACCCTCGTTGGCTTTCCAGTCAATGTTGGAAATGTGAAGCTCCCGCCCTTCGTAAACAGGTCCATGACGGTCCTCTCTGCGCGTAGGATCTGAGAGTTTGACTACCAGATTGAGGTCGCTTCCAACCCGAACGCCATTCAGCTTGGTCGCGTTATGGGCATCCCCAGAGGATTTGAACTGCACGTAACAGAATCGTCGATGAGTGTTGTATTTGAGAGACGGGAAGCGTATATCGACAATCTCGCCATACTAAGACTGGTTAGTTTCACATTAGATGGAGCTGTTGGGCAGATGCCTACCTCGCGGAACAGGTTTTGGATATAACTTTCATCAGCGGTTGATGGAAAGTTCGTCACGAACAATGTGGATCCGGAGCCAAGATGAACCTCAATAGCGTTATCGTCAAGCAACTTCTGATCGCGCGTCTGAGCCACAAGGGCTTCCTCTCTAGTTTCGAACTCAATGATGGCGGTCTCAGAGTTTCCATCGTCGCCTGGCAGCATCTTCAAGCCTTTGATTGTCCCGCACTGTCCAAGTCAGATAAGGAAGTGAAGACAACAGAAAACCAGGGGAGAAACTTACATGACGGAAGAACTGTCGCACTCGGTGTTCCGTAATATGGTGAGGCAAATTCTTGACAACTACTGTGGCATTTTCGCGGTCGCGCCGGAGTGCGACAGGCTCGGGTTGCGGCGCAGCGGATGCTGGTGCTGGTGCTGGTGCCGGTGCTGGCTCCTCGGCACGGGCCTTTTTACTGCTGGGATAGCCGTTTACTCCAGTGTCATCCTCGCGCTTACGCTTCTCTGCTTGAGATGCAAGATCCGCCGCCGCCGCCTGCTGTTGCTGCAACGCCGCCGCAGCTTCCTTTTCTCGCCGTGCGGTGATGGCCTTCATGGCTTTCCTGGTCTCCAGTATAGCCTGTTGGAGTTCTTCCGAGTCCTCGTAATCTTCACAATGTGCGACATAGACCTGCATGATCTTCTCGGGCCAATCCAGATCTGTCCGCTTAATGGCCTGTTTCAACACGGCAGTTGCAAAGCTGGGGTTGGGCGTCCGCCGAGCGGCATCCGCCGTCGCTTCTCCCTGCACAAATTTGCTCCACGAGATCAGTTCCCAGTGATAGTAGGTGAGCCAGAATTCGTAACTATTGCCACGGCGACCGACCAGCCCCTTGAAAGTTTCGCGTGCACTGTCCCAACTGCCGCTTTCACTCAGGTAGCGGATATAGATGCGTTCGAGGCGAAACAGCGGATCACCCTGGTATGAGCGACCGTACTTCTTCTCTCCGAGTTCCTGAACACTTTCGATGGCGGATCGAATGCCAACCTCGGCAACATCCAGGTCCTCATCGGTCGAATCTGAAAGGAAGGCGCGCCGACGAAGGTAGCTGCACCAGGCGGTATGGACTTTCAGTACCTCCTCCATACCACCGGCGTCCAGCAAGCCAGTACTTGTGGCTTTGTGTTTGATGTCAGCGATCCTCTGGAAAGATTGTCCTTCGCGCTCGGAGCTAAGGAGGTACTGCGACCAAAGGGTACCGGAGCATGGGCAGTGCCTGGTGGCTCGTTCGAGCGTCGATATTGTGGTCGCTCTCGCGTTACCGTGCGTATTCTGGTCGATAAGGAACATGACGTAGTCCTCCCAGAGGTTGGAGTCGGTCGGGAAACGTAGGACTGCACGCTGGTAGATGGCGTTCACGAGATCGAAATTCGACTGGCGTTTCCGCCGGTGTCGGCTCACTTCCCATTCAATGTACTCCGAGTACGCCGCCCACTCCAGGCCAAACTCCCCAGCATCGACGGCATTGCGCAACTTGATCTCCAGATGCTCCCGCGCGTTGTACTTCTCTTTAATTGGCGTAGCAAGTCGACCCGCCGTGTCGGCCATGATTTCCTCGTAGTTTGCGTTGTAGTATGTCGACACGAACCCCGAAAAGGCCTGGAAGGTCTGGTCCCAGGTAGCATGCGGGGTTTGCAAGCGGGCATCGAAGAAGCCCTTTACTTGACTGGCACGTTCTTGCGATGGGCGACGAGAAAGGTCCTGAACTTGCAGGTCCAAAAATCGATCCCAGACCAGATGGCTATCGTGAATCCTCCATCGGGTCGCCTCGGCACCTCGCTGCCACACATCCAAAACTGATTGCCAGGTAAAGACCTCACGACCGACCAGCTTGTCCTCCTCGGACCATTGGTTCGAGCCAGAATCCCCGTTTGCGGAGTTGTAGAGGTATAGTACCCATTCACCGTAGATGGTCCATAGCTTGGTACTACCGTACTCCTCCTCAATTGATCGCTGGCAGAGTTCCATCACCGCGATGCGTTCCTCCACCGATTGCGCCAGCATACTCTCGTCCTGGATCCACTCCGCCCAGAGATCCTCACCCATGGCGAACAGCTTGTCCATCTCCTCCCGGGCAGTGCGCATATCCCTAAGGAGGTCATATTTTCGTGGGTCGCCGTGGATATCCGGATTATTGGGCGGGTAAACATGGTTGACAAAGCCCTCGTGGAGCAGACGGATAAAATTTACGTGCGCCTCGTAAATATGCGGATTATCCTGAATCTGAGCGAAGAGCTCCGTCGCCATCCTTTGAGCCTCGGGCCGCAAAGAAGTGTCAGCATAATTCCTTCGAGCAGCGCCCTCCCTCGGACCCTCCGACATTGCGATGTCAAACGAAGTTCTGGGAGTAGGCGTATTATGAGAGATCGGGTTAACGTGAGGGTACATCGTGGATGGCGATAGTTGGCTTTCATAGGACTCGGTACCCCGCAAAATGGAGGTATTGGAACGCTGGGGCTGATGATGTTGCATTGACGCCAAATCTGCGAGGGTATCCATGCCTGGCGTGGATGCTTGTCGGGATGGAGGCAGATCAACAGCCGGAGGCGTGCCATTTCCTCCTCCCATGCTCGGACCCGCACTTGGACTACTCGTCGCCGGCGGGGAAGGGTCGTTTAATTGCGAAGGAGCATATACGTGATGCGCAAGAGGAGATGAAGTCATGGCTGGCCGTGCGGAAGTTGTGCGACCTTTCCGTAGCGGCTTATTCGGTGGACGTGAGGTCGCGGCAGAAGCATTGTTGGCAGACATCGATCCGTTTCCAGGGGTTGAACGCCCAGATTGAGGATTCGAGTCTGGCGAAAGAAGTGAGTTTATATCCATAATGGAGATTTTTTTTTTACCCAAGGGTTTGACGATGGAGAACGAAAGGCGAAGGTAAAATGGAAGTCGCCAATTAACGCGCTGGCGCGGACGCAAACCCCAAGGAAAAAGAAGAGGAAGGAAGGAACGAAATGGATTCGAAAATTAGAGGACAACTGATGATAGCCTCATCAACGAGTCCATTCCTGCTTTGGCCAGAGCCTCGATTGCGACTCAGGAAGCAGGACTTTTGCCGTCCTCTCAAGTGGTGCGGAAAAGTTCCAAACCACGAAAGAACTGCGCAATGGAGAGATTAGGACCGAGGATTCTTCCCTCCACGTGAGTAAATTTCCACTTGTTCCGTTTCTCTCTCTCTCGTTGCTTCTCCTTTGAGTAGTTGATTCTTGATTGTATACGTTGATGCTTCAAGACAGAAATGACAAGGATTTCTGGGACGGAAAATGGGACGACCGGGGAGAGCGAGAAAGCTGAAGGGGAGAGAGAGGAGGGGGACCAAGCTATCCAGGTTGAGAGCTAAAAGCGGGTAAGCGGCGGTCACAATGACGGGAAAATATGGGGAAATAGAGGCCTACAAAAGGACAGGCGACAAGAAAGAGGCCGGGAAAAGCGCAGTGCAGCAGAAAGTCAAGAGACTATCTCTTCCACAGATCTGAAGACGAGACTGATGGGAGTAGGACAAGAAGAGCTCGCAGCATGGGATAGATACCTGAGGTACCAACAGAATACTATGCGACAACAAGCGTAGAGATCAGCCACCTAGCTCAGGAATGGACGCTTGAACAATCCTCAAGGCTTTAGCTAACCTCGTCGACCTGAAATTTAATCGACGTAGAATTCCCGTACTATGCAGGAGTTTTTGACGCTGATGACTACGACAGGCTCTCGACTCCTTTGGATCGAACGGATTGTGTAACCGATTGGTTTTAAAAGACATGATTTGTTGCTCAGGCCATTTCGATCGATTGATACAGTAGCTCCCTGACGTAGTGGTCAAAATCTATAGAATGCTTCTACAAGGCTTAGGTGTAATGCTATGGATGACAAGCCTAAATCCCTGCTGCTCGATTTCATTTCGACGAGGCCCTACCTGAAAGAGCTGGATCTGAAGCTGTTTTACGACTGGAGTTTGAGCATCATCACGTGCCATGATCAACAGCCACTTGCATTGCCCTGTGCGCCGAGGAAGGCGTCCCCTGCCCTATTATGAATCTGTCGGCTGAATCTGTTAGTCAACTGTCGAGAATGGTGGATATGGATGTCTGAGTTGGCCAGTGGCTCGAACCATCAATCATCCACATCCCATTTTTGGAGTTGCAAACGATCGGACAATGGTTGAGCGAAGCAGATGAAGCCATGACGACTCAGGTATAGGTGTCCAATGCTGAGAACACTGGCTGTCATGTAATATTTCAAGCAATCACTGCATTTTGCACCTGTTCAAAAGCGCTCAGCACAGCCATGTATATCGTACAAAATGAGGCAGACAATTGAAGGGCTGCCGCTTTAACCGACAGCAGCAGAAACTTACCGACACTAGTCCGATGATGAGGTCATTTTGCATGAAGAGGTAGTGGTAGTACTCTTACTACCAAAGCGCTTAGAAACTTAGCAAGGGACTAGTCTACAGGTAGATTAGACTAGCTGCAGCAAATCGCAAAAAGTTGCCGAGCTTGCAAGGAGTTAGTACCACCGTCTAAGAGCTAGACTAAAAGGTTGCTGGCGTCGGTCAAGCCTCAAAGCAAACAGAAGTGTGGCTTGATTCCTCAGCCACAGTGTACGGTAGACCATGTCAACCCACTCCGCAGCCAAGGAACGCGGATCATGTGCTCTCGACTTTCCAATTGCAATTTTCCCTTCAGTCTCCGAATATCAAGCTCGCTCCCGGGGTTGTTAACGCTCGCTTGTCATGGCCACAATGGGTGCTGTATATCCCTACGGGCAACTGATCCGGTCAGGTAAGTCATTACCCTTCCAATTGCTTTATCCGTTACCTTTAATATCCTTTTGGCCCTGACACATTTGTGTAGCCCGGAGAGGTGTTACTTTCGTCCCTCGACGCACCCTGACATATTCCTTTCCTCGCCGTGCTCAGGATGACGGCAGCAGCAATGGGCCTAACGAGAAACCGGAGGAGCAATCCAAACCGTCTGCCTTGTCCTCCATCAAGAATTTCTTCTTCGGTGGCCGGTCCGAGACCGCAAAGCCGAAAATCACCCGCAGAGCAACAGCCCCTCCGAAGCGTGAAGGTTCATTGAGTGCAGACTCAATTTTCGCCGAAGATGAAGCAACGCCGAAGCTTATCGCATCCGGCCGGACGCCAGCAGCACGCAAACAAGCCACCGAAGCGGCGGAAGGCGAGGAGGAAGCTAATTTGGAGGTGGAAAACCGAAACCGTATCACCATGGCGGCCGTGCTCGATCCTCGTCCGAAGGCGAGGATGCGATGGGAGCGCAAGATGATTGTTCGGGAAGTACGTCGTCGGGGTCGCCTAACGAAGACCGAGCAGATTATGCGGACGGAGCGTGAGTCACTGTCCAAGTCCCATTGGTTCAAGACCTCCTTGAAGAAGCTGGGACCCCTCGCACGTCAGATCGCGGGAAAGAATATCGACGAGGCTATGTTACAGATGCGCTTCAGCAAGAAGAAGGTCGCCAAGGACGTTCTTGAGCACCTCGAGCACGCGAAGAACGTTGCCATTGTTCGGTCAGGCATGGGTCTGGGCAACGCCACAGAACAGAAACCCATCACCATCACTCTCAAAACTGGTGAGCGGAAAACGATCACCAACCCTTCATCGATCTACATTGCCCAGGCTTGGGTCAACCGAGGACCATACGGAGTCGACTACGACCATCGCGCTCGAGGCCAGATTAATCGGCTACGGCCCCCTTACACTTCCCTGAGTGTCTTGCTCAAGGAAGAGAATACCCGGATCAGAGAGTGGCAGGATCATGAGGCTGAGGCACTGCGCAAGCGGAAAGCCCAACTTTGGACCCAGCTTCCGGACCGGAAGATCACCGCCCAGAACCAGTACTATAGCTGGTGATCGACTCGTTCGCTTCGTTGTTTTATAGCCATGACTAGGCGATTTGATGGGTTGTTATCGGCGTTGTTCGTTTCTTTGTAATTTTCCTAGATTTCCGAAAGCACTCTCCGTCGAGCGGGATGTTTCAGCGTTTCCTCTCCCATGTCTATCTACTCTTGGTGATGCGAGGTCATTGGCTTGCCAACACCGTTTGTGGTCTAAAGAATTGAGCCGATAGTGGGCTCACCTTGTACAATACTGAAATATACATTTCTGGAACGCATCGGTTTTCCCTATAGTTACTAAGTCGGGTACTGTTAGAAAGTGCCCTGTGACGTCTTCTATTTCACCTGAACATCGACACGTGTATGCGTGCTTCTTCCGTGGGTCCCAATTGACTATTGTCAACCACCAACCCTAGCAATTACTTATTTCCCTACCTTCCCACAGCCTCGTTCTGAGTCGGATGAACGAATGAATATATATCAGACCAGGCCCAGTCTGGCTGGCGATTGATTTGCCCCACACGCAGCAGAGCCCGCGGCCAATGAAGCGCACGGGCACTTGGATATGATCCCCCTGCGTCCCTCCACAGCTCGCCCACCCAGGCAGGGCAATGAGCTAGAATATCAGCCTCTACATGAAAGTGAAAGGCCGCATTTGAATTTTCCTAGGGCACCTGGCTTCCAACGGTTCTTTCAAGTATCTTTCATCATGTACGTGCTCACACCTCGAAGCCTTTTTCCCTACTAACACCATCCAGACCAATCCTGCTTGTAGTCACTGTCATTGTAGCTGGGTTCATGATGATGGCTGAATCAATTACATCCGAGTCGCATCTGAGACTGAGCACTGTGACCGGATATTTCATGCAAGATGAGCCGACGACTGATCCGGACACTTTCGATTATGTGAGCTGTTATTGAAATATTAGCATCACCTAGGACGTAGCTGATGATGACCAGGTCACATCGAACTTTGGCCTAATACCTCGAAGCTATGACTCGGACGCCGAGTTTGATCCAGACGGCCGCAGAACCCAATGGGAGCGCTTTGAGCACCATATCAAAAAGCTCAATGCAGAGAGTCGTCCTGAGACAAGCTACAGACTGCTCTACCTTGGCCGACATGGAGAGGGGTACCACAATGTCGCCGAGCGCCGCTACGGGACAGAGGCATGGGATGTAAGTATTTCCGCTGATACCCTCTACATGAGGCTGTTTATCGGAACTCGATTAACTGTTCTAGTGCTATTGGTCCCTCCTCGACGGGGACGACAACGGGACATGGGTGGACGCCCGTCTCACTCCTGTGGGTACAGCTCAGGCGGAAACGGCGCACCGGGCCTGGGAGACGCAGATCGAGAACAAGATCCCATTCCCTCAATCGTACTACGTGAGTCCGTTGAATCGATGCTTGGCTACCGCCAGTATCACGTTCCGCGGCCTGAAGATGCCGCATACGGAGCCTTTCCGCCCGGTCGTCAAAGAGGTACGTCAACGGTATTATCTTTCATAAATCATGAAAACTTACATCAGCAGCTCCTCCGAGAAACCATCGGTCTTCACACCTGCGACAGTCGGTCCTCGAAAACGGCTATACAGGCCGAATACCCCGAGTACATTATTGAAGATGGCTTCGCAGAGGAAGACCCCCTGTATGATCCAAAGCTACGGGAGTCCGACACCGCGCGTGACGCTCGCCTTCGCGACTTACTCCAAGACATCTTCACTCACGACGAAAATACCTTTATCTCCTTGACGGCACATTCGGGCGCCATCACGAGTATCTTGCAGGTCACTGGGCACCGGAAGTTTGCGCTCGCGACGGGTGCTGTCATTCCGGTTCTGGTCAAGGTAGAGCGTGTGCCTGGGCCATTGCCGAAAATGCATATCGATCCTCCTACGACGGCGCCGGTTTGTAAGAACTGATTCCGAGAGGCCGTGTGAGGGCTGATGGTGGTTTTGGCAGAGGCATGCTGTCTATGCATGCGTATCGTCTATTGTATATACCCAGATGAAATGATATCCCTATATCTAGCTAACATGATAATTAAAGGCAGCGTTTACAAAGGACAGTTCTCCTGCCACTTTCTGGGTTGAACCCAGCTCGAACACCATAGTGAACGGTTTGTAAGGGCGAAAGTTAATACCCAGACCTGCCTTCTTATCGTAATTGAATCAGCGTCTTGTTCATTCCGTCGATGGTGAATGTTGCTCGGATATGCTCATCAAGACGGCTTTGACATTCACTTTAGTCAAGCATTTTATTGAATAAACCAGAATTGAGTCTTCTGAAACGCGTCATGGAAATACATGCCCTCTCAACCTCCTGAGATATAGCCAGAACTGCCGCTCTGGCTGTGGTCTTCAAACGCGGCAACGGTCTGCTTTCTATCGACTCGTGGAAATCCGCCATCGGATTCATCCTCACTCTTGTTCGTTGACACATTTAGAGACGGGTTTCGCCGCATGCATTACGTCTTCTTGTATCGCTGCCACTGCAAAAGATGCCATGACACATTGAGGGGTTGGCAATGCCATTCTGGCCTTGATACTCTGTTCAATCCATTATCCGGAAGACCACTTTTGGATAAACGCCAGTCAAGCAAGATCTCATCGAGCCGTATCTGTTGCGCTTCACCGGTTGCCTTAAACCAGATCACCTATCGAAACCCGGCTGTTCTAGCCGCTAGTCGGGTGGTTCTGATGGACTATGAACACTTTGTTCCAGGCCGTGAACCGCGTTCATCGAGTCGGCCTCAGGAGCGAAAAAAGACCTTTCGAAATAGCGGTACATATGTCCAGCGACAGATCGACCACAAATTCCGTGACTTGCGCAGCATCTGGAGAGGGTTTATGACGACTTCGCCACATGGTCATCCACATTGGAAGACCATGCTCACCACTTGCACCAAATTATCGAAGGCTGTCACAGATATCGGATTACGCTGAATCCCGAGAAAGCATTTGTCGCATTTCCGTCAGTGAAGCTGCTTGGACAAAATGTTACCCCCCTTGGAATATCCGTTCCCGTTGACCGATTAGAAGCTCTGGCTAAGCTGAAATTCCTTGAAACATTGGCGACCCTTTCCACGTATCTTGCTATGAGCGGGTTCCTCAGGAATTACATACCATTTTATTCTTCTAAAGCCCAACCGCTTCAAGAGAAGAAGACCTTCCACAACATCTGGGCTGTTGACTCCGTCAGCAAGAGACTGCTTCTATGGACAATGTAGTTCATATCGGGTTCGAACAGGCCAGGCTCACTATGTAAGTGCTTAATCCGATTATTGAACATTATCTAACTGCAATTTTAGAGAGGCCAAATGCTATCTTACCGGCCCAAAACTTGGCTTATGCCGGAAACCTACCTTAGTGATTGATGTGTATTTTATGGACACACAATCAATGAAGACAAGCCCTAATAGTATGGGATGGCGATAGCTTCCCCCCATCCCCTCCTCCTTTTACCGAGGGTCGGTTGACTGGGTATACCAACCTTATACACACAGTGCTGAAAGATGGATCGTGTCGTAAGAGCCGCTCCCGCTCTCAGCCATTTCCTTAGCAATGCCTGACAATTCGGTCCCTTCTAAGGTGGACTGGCTCTGGTGAAGAAGGGGCTCTTGCCGAAATCTCAGGGCGGTTCGCGGCACCTCGCCAGCAGAAGTCGATTCTCATGGAACCTCCTCTCAATCTGAACATATTGTTCTAAGCAGTCAATTGAGGAGTGTCCTTTCTTATTGCTCGCCCAGTGACATAAGGCTTCCTCGCTGCCAGAGAAGCTACGATGGCCTGAAGCTGGGTATAGATTTTCACAGGGAATCGTTGCACGAAGCAATGGAGTATACTGCGTACATCCGAGCTGTGAAGGTTACTCGTCCACTGGCTAAACTATTAACATGATTTATATATACATGGCTGACAGATCAGTCGGCTCATAATTTACCAGGGCTATAAGGAGTCATTCGTCACACACATGACACCAGATACCCGTTACGTTGGGTGCTTGGAGAGGACAGCTCCGACCACCACCGCCGAACCAGAGGAATTTATAGCGATGCAGTCCTTTGGCCCTTGGCGCATTGAGAAGGAGGCTCAACTCCGAAGCCTATGCCTAGCACATGCTGGCATTCCTATCGGCAGCTGGATCATGCTTCGATCTACCAGACGGGACCGTCAGAACTTGTCAGATTCGTTCTCATCGGAAGTCGATCGGACTATGCCCGATCGAAAGAGTTTCAGTCAGCCTTTCTGACGTTGTAAGGCTCGAAAAAGCATTGCTTGCGGAGCGGATCTCATCTGGTAGAACAAACCCCCTTGACTGTGGGGTTGGGGTGGTTGAGGCCGAGTGGAAGATCCGCTGGGTTCCTCTGGTCTTCTCCATCTGTCATTCCATGATTCTCAGCTGGAAATTCTGAAATAAAAGTGGACGGCATTTATCTGGGCACTGAAGAGTGCGCTTGACTATTGCACCCTTGCAATTGCCTGTCAGCTTGCTCTTGAAGGCCGTGAGTCTCCAGATTTCCAAGACCAGATAATAGCTACTACTTCAGTTTAGGTCGAGCGCCGACAGCGAGCAAGAAGAATTTTCACTTCCCGTTAACCGCTGTCTACGGACAGTGGTGTACAAAGCTGATCAGGCAGGGCATACGCACTTAGCAAAGAGCGATTCAAGTGCATCTGGACCGCAGGCGGGGAGTTCCACCTTGGAGCCTCCAGAGGGGATTTGCGCCTGATAGGGGACTAGGATTGTGGCTTGCCGTGTTGGACAGGGCTCGGTATGGGATCATTAGGTCTCCATTACTGCAGCCCAGATGCAACGGGTTGGCCGGTTGCCGGAACATCTGGCCAAGCAGGGACTGATTACAGATGTAGTTCATGTGTAAATAGCAGATCAAGAACTGGCGGACCACCAAGAAGACATCGTGGTGTCTGTGGCAGAGAGGTTTCGGGAGGACGACAAGCTCTTATGTATGATGAACTCCCAACTAAATGTCATGTCGGTGTCCACTTCAACGATGCACAGGGCTGGCTGATTGGAACCTTGGCTTATAACCTCGCTGATGTACCCGGACAAGTTTGATCTTGATCGCGTGGAGAACGAGGTGCTTGCGTTTTTAGCTTAGTTTGTATGTCTCTCGCTCGTCTTTCTATTGCTAGCCTTTTGATTCACGAGTGGGAGCTTATTGTTAGTAGAGCGTACAGCAGGCCATTGGAAGAAAAATGAGAAAAAAAGAAAAGAACAACAACATAAATTGATTCCTATGTATATCGCTCGTGATTGCCAACCCTGAAAGGAAATATATTTAGGGCTGATGAAGACATGGAGAATATCATGAGGGAGGCTGGGTTCAGAGGGTTCCTGTGGGAGTATTCGACACATATAATGATATTTACAAACTAAACAATGGTATTGATTCATATGCTATCTTTCTTTCTATATAGTGTCAAGGTATCATGACCATGATCATTGATGCATTCGGGCATCTCCGACGGATACTGATAAGCCCATTATTTAAGTATCATATTTCCCCGCATTTTTTCCCCTCAGCACATCCCACTTCTTCCACTTCTTCCACTGTCTCTCTTTCTAACAATCAATCTCTACGTCTGAACCATGGAAGGCCTTACTCCCTCACAGCTCACCTTCTTCCGTGAGAACGGCTACCTCGTCATCCCCGACTTCCTCTCCCCAGAGGACATCACCTCCCTCCTGACCGAGACCAACAGACTCCTCGACGACTTCCCACTAGAATCCCACCCCCTCACCAAATTCACCACCGGCGACGACGAAACCAACAAAAACGACCCCCACGTCGGCGACGACTACTTCCTCAACTCCGGCGACAAGATCCGCTTCTTCTTCGAACCAGACGCCTTCTCCTCCACCCCCGACCCCGCAACCGGCAAAACCGCCCTCCTCAGACCCAAACAGCAAGCAATCAACAAGATCGGACACGCATTGCACTCGCTCTCCTCGCCCTTTGAGAAGGTCTCCCTGAGCGCGCGCAACGCCGCCATAGCCAAGTCCCTCGGCTTCGTGGACCCGCGCGTGCTGCAGAGTATGGTGATCTGCAAGCAGCCTGGAATTGGGGGCGCGGTGCCGCCGCATCGGGACTCGGAGTTTCTGTATACGAGGCCGCCGTCGGCGGTGGGGTGGTGGTTTGCGCTGCAGGATGCGGGGCCGGGGAATGCAACGCTGGGGATGTGGAGGGGTTCGCATCGGCAGGGGATCAAGCGGCGGTTTGTGAGGAAGGTTGGGGAGAATGGGAAGGCCGTTGGGACGGAGTTTGTGGAGAATGATGGGCCGGAGATGCCGAGGGGTGCCGAGGGCGACGGTCAGGGCCAGGGCCAGGGTCAGGAGGTCAAGGATGAGGATTTGGAGATTCTGGATATCAAGGCCGGGTCGTTGGTGCTGATTCATGGGAATGTGTTGCATAAGAGCGAGAAGAATACCAGCCCGCGCAGCCGGTTTGCGTATACATTCCATGTCATTGAGGGTGCGGACGGATGGGACTATGATGAGAGGAACTGGCTGCAGCCTCCTGAGGGTGGAGAGTTTTCCAAGCTGTATCAATAGAAACGAGCAGAATTGTATATACCTTATCCTTCTACTTCTTAGACAGCTGGAACGCCAATTCTGCGTATGCTTTCAGATTGCGTCCAATACCATGTAGCCCATGCTGCGCTTACCCAGACTCACGCAATACAAGCCCGTCATTCTGGGTGTCTCTGCGCATAATTATCGCCTAGCGGCTGATCTCCTACAATGTTCCCTGCGGATACTGCAGCAGGCTCGATCTTCACTGCCCATGCCCCATGGGACTAGGAGTCACACATGAACCTTGTCTGCACGTTTACTGATAGGTCTAAATAAGAAGCATATACTATAAGCACAGTCAGTGTGCCCGAGTGGTTAAGGGGAGTGATTAGAAATCACTTGGCTTCGGCCGCATAGGTTCGAGTCCTATCGCTGACGTTTCTTTTTATTTTTTACTTCCGTACTCTACGGCGGATCCCAGCCTATCAGGCTACAATACAGAGAACTAAAGCGCATTGGCAAATATGCTGGGTATACGGAGAGCAGGGTACAATTTGCTCGTATAAGGCGATTCTAGGCCAATTGTAGGTAGTGACCATTCCATCGGGAACGGACCAACCTTCCATCATGACCAATATTGGCGTTAAATTCAAGATTCTTTCTGTTTCTACTTAATTAAGAAGACTCGGGGCACTGGCATCTTTGATCTGGGGCTTAGATTTGCTACTCTGTAACTGGATGCATGATGCCCAGGGGATTTCAATGCGCATCCTTATCTTATCAGATTACTCCCAACGCGGCGCATCTCGGGCGTTCGTCATCTTATCCCCGATCCACCTGCCACACCCCTGACAGCTGTCACCCACCTCTTATCTACCCATCCTCAGCTCAATCCCAACAGAGAAACCTAGGTGGAAAATGGACCCCGACGCAAGTGTGCCGATCGACGAGCCATCCGTCTTCAACTACGTCCTCTCCTTCCTCCTCGTCGGCGTAGCATGGGGCTTCACAACGCCATTCATCCGACGCGCCGCAGCGGACTTTAACGCTCGGCAGGAAGCTCTTCAGAAACCACAGTCACAGGCGGCGCCACAGACACAATCAGCCCAGTCCACCACGGAAGAGCAGGAGCTACAGGATCAGAGCCACCCCGCGGCTAGCACCACAGAGAATGGAGATGAAGGCGAAAGCGAATGTGAATCTGAATCGGGAGAGGAGGACCAGCCTCTCACATCGAGTGCGCGATCAAGAACAACTGCAGCTGCAGCCGCGGCGGGAAGTAGCACTCGTACTCCGGCATGGATGAAACCAAAGTCTACATCCTCATGGCTCACGACCAAGATCGTAACTGTCTTCTGGACGGTTGTTAATCTCCTCCGCACGCCGGCGTATTCCGTCCCGCTTGTCATCAATTTGACTGGGAGTATTTGGTTCTTTTTGTTGGTTGGGAAGCATGGTTTGTCTTCCTTCCCTTTCTCACTGTTGTCTATGACTGTGTCCGTGCTGATGTTTCATAGAATTGTCGTTAACTGTCCCATTGGCGAATTCGAGTGCGTTCCTTTTCACAGTTCTCGGGGAGTGGTATGTTGAGCGCAAGGTCATTGAGAAAGAGACGTGGTTGGGGATGGCGCTTGTGCTGGGCGGTATTGGGATCTGTGTGCACTCGAAGAACCAGAGTTAATCGTCTATAATGTATTATAAATAAAATGCAGTAAATAAGCCACTCCAGATATTATAGAAACCAACAGAAGTAAGAATGACGGGCAAAAAAAAGGAAAATTAAAAAAGGTAATTGCATCATCCGTGAATCGAACACGGGCCTCGTCGATGGCAACGACGAATTCTACCACTAGACCAATGATGCTTCTTATTGTAAGAAGTTTAATACTTTAGCTTTATTAGACTTCTAGAACGCCGACGAGTTTCACAAAGTGACCGAGGGCTAATTCACAAACGTATTTCAGCAAGGAGACACGTTTGTGAATTAGCCCTCGGTAAGCGTCGCTCATTGAATCAGGATTGCAGTCAAGATTGGAGCGAGGCAGGAATGAGGATAAGATAGAAGAGACGAATCCTTATCTTCAAAAGCACGGAGAACAATTTCCATGGGCCTCCCAGCTTTAAGGATATATCAAACAGAGGTGATATGATAGTGAGTGGAAAAGGGACAGCATGAGTCATTGTCTAGACGTTATATCTCAAGTACAATATAAGCATAATGGTGTCACGTCCCATACTTCACGGAACACCACACATTGTATAATGCCCTGTATGCCCTCCCGAAGCAAATGGTATCTACAAAATACATCTCAATCATCTTTCAACGAAGCAGGATCAAGCAAAAACATCAAGAGCATCGTTGAAACCCCATATCATAAAACGTGTCTTCGTCATCCAAGGTACCATACTGAGCCCGCAGTGGTATCGTGGCCAAACGTCAGTATAGAGCCGGGTGCAACATCACATGGGAAGGAAAGGCTAGAGAAATAACATCAAACGCCTCGGAACTGTACGAATGGTTAGCGCCTGAAAGCAGCATGCAAAAGTCGAATATCCTTGAACATACCATACGAACAACCAGGAACCACATTGCCCCGATGAATTTGAATATCGAGAGACCAGCCACACTCCAAAGCACGACAGCCATGTAGATCGTGGCCCTGTTGTCATCCGTTGCATTCTTGTCGCTGTTGAATCGGTCCAGACCAGCTGCGCTCAGCACAACAGCGCCCAGCGCAAAGTTGCAAAACACCCAAGCGAGCACGACCGCGCTTCGGAACCCTTTGTAATAGTCGGCCTGCCGTTCCTCTTCCGAAATGACCTTGGTTTCCTTGGGCGGTTTCTGTGCAAACTTGGCCAGTTCAGCCTCATACTGCGCGTTAAGGTCTCCATCGTCTTGGGGGATATCAACATCGACTTTGCCGCCGGGTTTCGTGTTGGCTGAAGGCAGTTTTTCGGCCTTGTCGTCTCCTTTGGTACCCCATGTGATGTCGTGGGTGTTGCAGAAGGCGTAGATATTGAGCACGTTAATGTACGTTGGCGTAAGCAGCATGTATTGGATAAACTGATACAGGTCAGCTTCAAATATAGCCAATGGTCGGAGGAGAACTTACGGAGGTGAACATATGCCAGGGGTCGAAGAAGATAAGTGAAGCCAGAAGCCACATGACATAAGTCGACCCCAAGGAGACAAAGATCGAGAAAAATTGACTGTTGCTGAACAACTGCCCAACGGTAAACGATTTATCAGCGACTTCCGTCTGAATAGATTTGACGGTCACAAAGATTGCTGCAAAGGTCAAGTAGATCATGATGCCAATCCAGAAGTAGACCATCGTCATGTAGAACTTGTTTGAACCGCCGGGGCGGTTGCCGAGGGACAGAACGAAGCAGGTGACCAAGGTCGCAAGATAAAGCCACTCGAAGACAACACCCAGGACTTTACCCGTTGTCCCGAGTAGATCAGCGTCACCGAGGTAGGTAGTGAGAATATGAAAGACCAAGAAGAAGTTGCCCTGCGATTCACGTTAGCATTTGCCCATTCTGGCAGGAAGAAGACGGCACATACAATGTTGAACCACGCAAAGATCATGTTGATAGTCTGGTAGATGAACTCAATCAACAACATGAACTTGCGCATGAAACTGTGGTCGCTTCGCCAGATCTGGTAGAAATGGGCGATCGCATAAACAGCAGCAAAGAAACTTCCGTTCAGCCATCGGCGCCGCTGCAGAATGAATTCCGCCATTCGGTCAGGCACATCGGTCTCTCCAGTTGATGACTTGACATATTGCAGGAGCCAACGGCAATTGCGTTTTGTCACAATCTCGAAACACAGAATTCGATCCTCGGCCAGGTACATGTTGGCTGTGAAGATACCGGCATTGGCGCCATGCATCTTTTCACCCATGAAGTAGCGCTCCAGAGGACCTTGGCCGTTCTTGTCGTTCTGTAACGCGACGTATCTGTACGCAGAAAAAGCACCAGGCAAGACAGAAATGAAACCAAAAGCTGATTCCAGAGGCTTATCCAGAATGTTGCTGAGCTTGTATTCGAAGTTTTGCCCAGCCACCAACGGATTGAGCAATTTCTTGCCATGCGATAGCATGACTTTGATCTCGCCACAAGCTCCTCCGCACATGGGCTCAACGTCAAAAGCCTTCCATAGCTGATAGATGGAGTCCCGTCCGGGCTTCGTTCCTGCGTCAAGAAGCACGCAGATATTGGGGTCCAATACACGGCCAAAGGCCTGGAAGAACCAACGATGCGAGTTGATCTTCTTCTGGTTCTTCTCCTTCAAGCAGAAAATCATCTGGACTGGGCAGGCCGAGCGCCCTTTTATGTGTACCTGCGTTCCTTTGAGCTCGAGACCGACCTGCGTAGTATACTCGTAGATATGTGCCGTCACGTCCTTGCCGTTCACCTGCTGCTTCGCAATACCATCCTGGTACACTCCGAGAGCGGCCAGCACAGCCCGCGTCCGAGGGTTGATCTTGGCACGACCATCGCTGATGACGCAAACCACGATCTTTTTCCATGCGTCTTTGCCCCAGGTTTTACTCTGCGTTCGATTGCACATGTACTCAATGTTCTTGAACACGCCGATCAATGTTCGAGCGAAAAGGAAGTCGTCCTCGTTGTACATCGTAATGACGATGAAAAGCTCGGTGTGTCGAGGCTTCGCGAACAGTTTCTGGCGCAGTGTAAACCGCTCCTCGTAAAAATCAGCGGGATCGCAGGTTGCCGCCGAGTAGCGCATATGAGTGAACTCGTCACGACCAGGCGGTTCCGCATGAGGAACTTGGCTCAGCAGCTTCGGCGCGATGGGACAGTCCAGGACAAGGTTACCGTGGAAGAGTTGCACTTCCTTGACCGTCTTCCAGCGTCGTATTGGCGCCGGACTCGGAGTGGGCGCAGCCGCAGGGTCGTCATGGTACTCATCACTGTACGGGTCTGGACCGAACGGGTTCTCAGGTTGTAAAATGGGCACTTGGTCATCTTGGTAAGGCTGTTGTTGCTCGTGATACTGCCCTAGATCATAATCATCTTGCGGCGTGACTGTTGGCTCGTACGGCTGGGTATAGTATGCGTCGTGATGAGCTTCCGGATTCACAGCATAATCGTAGCCGGGATATTGCTCGGGATGATGTTGCTCGTATGCTTCATTATGACCGTAGGAGTTGGGAATTCGTTCTACCGAGTACTAGTATCTCGAGTCAATCTCAGAAGTCCCCGGCGCTTTGATTGCAATGGTGTTCTCACAGTTGGCTGCTCTGCCAGACGGTCGCTAGAAGGCATATGCAAATGGTCATGCACGTATGGATTATCCGACAACTGGTAAGCGTTCAAAGGCCGGCCTGGCGACGGCGTTCGATTGTCCAAATGATGAGGGTTCATGGTGGGAGAGCGGTTGCCATCCTCCCCGTAGTGGTCTACAGAGATCGAATGTCAGTTTGGAATGGCTACCGAATTGAGCATGTGATAACCAGTGTTAAAACAAAATATGAAATGGCAGGCAGAAACAATTGCAGAATGATCGCCAAACAGCTTGCGCAAGTGCCAATGGGAGCTAGTCTCGTCAAAGTCGCTTTATCGGGGGCTATGTTTCAGAAAGACAGAGGATGCGGAGATGCGACGGATCCCGCAGCCCTGCAATAACAACAGCGTAACAAGGACCAAAACAAATTATAGACTAACCTAAGCGATTATAGGACATTGTGAGAATGGGATCTTCGTATATTGATCGTTTGAATGAGCTACCCCTTGGTATTCCTGGCGAGGGGTGAAGTGATTGGGAATGCGCCAAGAGCGTCGGTGGAATGAGGCCAAGCGCTCAGTCACTCGATAATTTATCGGGGCTTGCGGAGAATTTGGTGACTTCCAAGACCGACGGCAGGGAAGGGAATGAAGAGATCAAGGATGCTGAGCGAATAAAGGTGCTTTTTCATCTGCCAACTGCTGCCTGTTGAGCGCAAAACCTGCGACGCCACTAGTGGTGGCTGTAAAAGGACGGGGACTGGGGAGGGACAAGAAAGAGAAGTAAAAGTTGTAAGCTGAGAATGAAGGAAAGAAGGCTTTGCTTGCTTGGCAGGCTTTTTTTCCGCGTTGACCAAGGAACCAGAAGAGATGGATGATCACTTCTTGGATGTTAAAATTTGGGAAAATAATACCTCGATGACGACGAGTAGAAAAGGCGCACTGTTTACTACTTCAGACTAGAATACGGAGTACGCCCCGCAAAGTGACGCAGCTGCCTGATATGCTTATCCTTTGTCTATAGTAGAAGGCTTCTATTAAGTCCCTGCTTAACGAGACATCTGCACATCTGCACGATGTATTATGCAGCTGCAGAAGATTTATTTGCATGTATCTTCTTCCCCTTGATCCGACCATCAAAGTCGACTGCGATTCATCAATCAAGCCGTGGATATCGTTGCCTTGGTCCATGGGCTCTAGTGGAGAGATTGGCAGTAATCCTTGGTCACTGGGCCAACGGGAAACCGGTGTGCCTGTCACTGCCACAGTGCCACACCCCCGTGTGCCCACCTATGGCGCAGCGCTCTCTAAAAATAACCGGGTGCCACAGGAACTTATCACTAGTTGCAGTCGAAGAAATTGATCTTATTCATGGCCATAAAGTTGGTGACGGTAGTGATGAATTGAATAAACGTCACAGACACTTGATTTCGGAAAAGTCCCTATTTGCTCGAACATGATCATGAATTAGCAGGAATATATATGCCGCTGAGTACATTGAGCCCTAGCGCAAGTTTGCTTGAACCACAATTGCAGATTTTTACCCGACCCAGTGGCTCAGGCATCAGTATGTTCATTATCAGGGATCATCTTTCTCGTAGCTCCATATCAACTAAAACTTCATCGTAATATGCAGTACTCTATTCGATGAACCGGTGGATGGTTCGATAAGAATGTCTTGTGGCTGAAGGCGGTGAAGAACGTCAGAATTCTTATCGCTGTGGAGGGGTGTGCAACATTTTGATCGGAGATGCATACATGCACCCGTCACAGTCCTAGCTCAATCACCAAGCAGCTTCACATCGGATAACGATCGCAATGACCGCCTCCAAGTCCCCTTCATCAGGACACAAAGTCAATGTCCTCTTCGTCTGCCTGGGGAATATCTGTAAGCACGAAATTTCCACCCCTCACCTCCGAACTCCAGTCTAATACCCCCCTCACCAGGCCGCTCCACCATGGCAGAAGGAGTCTTCCGCAACATGGCAAGCACCCATCCATTGATCAATGAGATCGATTCCGCAGGCACAGGAGCCTACCATACCCTCGAGCCCCCCGATTCGCGCACCATGTCCACCCTCCGCCGCCACGGCATCACAAACTACGACCACGCGGCGCGGAAGATCACCAAGGATGACTTTTTGCACTTTGACTATCTCCTCGCGATGGACAAATACAATTTGCGGGATTTGCTGGATGTGCGCGAATCGGTTGTTGCTTCGTTGCGGAAGTCCGGAGGTGCCAAGGGTACCCGGGCGTCGATCGGAGATGCCGGCGCGAAGATTGCGGAGGTGAGGTTGTTTGGTGATTTTGGGCCGGGCGGTGTTCTCCATGACCGAGTTGGTGGAGGAGAGGTCGTGCAGGATCCTTATTACGGCGGTGTTAATGGATTCGAGGAGGTTTATCAGCAGGTTGTGCGGTTTTCTAAGTCCTTTTTAGAGTATTTGGAGAAGAAGCAGGGCTCTGAAGTTGAGGAGTGATTCTTGATCTTTTGACGATGGCATACTGCGTTCTTGCATGTTGAGTGATACCCGATAACTTATAGATATGATCGATCAATAGATGACTTAAAGAAGTTTGGAGTTCTAAATCATACTTGCCGCGCCGAGGCTTCGTGAATACACCCTTTTTTCCCAGATAGTATAGTACATGTTGCAAGCTTATTGCACAATTAGCCGAATGAGACGGACCTCAAGCAACAATGGCCGTAAAGTGGCTAGCCGTCTCTTCATACCCGTTCACTGATCATGATGGCCGCTCTACACCCCAAGCGGATCACATTGACCAACGGATCGTAAGGCTGCGCCTCCTTGGCGTCATTCTCAACGGCATGATCCAAATGCTCTAGCTCCTCATCACGAATCCGCCGGAATGTTGCCAGCATCTCCTTTAATTCATCATCGAGCTCTTCTCCCCGGCTCTTCGCGTCTGCCTCCCATGATAAAATCTCCCGCACTTGATCGTTATAGTGAGACCCAATCTCCGTCTCTACTGCCTCCGTACAAGCCATGGCGGCCTCCCGGCCCATGACTCCCGTCGACCACCCCAGGAAAGTCGCTGCTACTTCCCAAATCGGATACATGGCCGTCGGGCGAACCCGGTGCTTTGCAATGAGTTCGTTGAATGTCGAGAAGTGTCCGGCTTCTTGGTCGTACATGTGCTTCATGAGCGGTCGGAGGTGGGGATGCGAGCGCACGACTTGGGGTGTTTGTGCAGTATAGATGAGCGTTGCGGCAAGTTCGCCAGCTTGGTTGACTCGGAGTGCGCTGTCCAGGTACTCTCGTTGTTTCTTGCTCAAAATGTATGTGGGCTTCGAGGACCCAGCGCCGGAGTTCTGAGAAGACTGCTGTGCACCATCCAGAGGACTATATGCTGCTGTAGAGCTGTGCCGGGGTCGACTCCGGCGCAAAATTGACGGAGCGAGAAAGTCGAGCATCAATGGTGATGTTGTTCGAGCGGATCGGCTGAGAATGCATCTCCGAAAGGAAGATAATGAATTCATTCTGTGTGCGTTTTTGATACAATCAGAAATACTTGGGTAATATCATGAAGAGTTGTTCGAATGGGTAACTTCATCAACAATTGTAAACATGAGATGCTTATACACCGGATATTCCGAGGTGGTCCAACCCAATCGCACGCATGGCCGCAGACGCGCGCTTGCGGCCTTCTTGGCAAGGCATCAATCTCGGGGGTCCTGCGGCCGGAACGTCATGGACGAACCATATCGTGCGGATGCCGCCGTCTACTCCGTCCGATCGCTTCTCTTCACTTCAAGGCTATCCGTCCTCTTCATTATCCATTTATAATCCGCCACCCACCTCCATCCTCGCGACCTGCTTGGGCTTCTTTTCTGTCGCGAGATTGTTATATACAGCTGGCTCCGCCCTAGCCAATTATTTGATTAATTTATATATCGGTACCAGTGTTCGGGTCCCAGGTTCGAGTCGCTGAGGTCTTCGCTGTGAATCGCGACGGTGAATTAGAGGGCCGTCGCGTACTCGAATCGGTTCTTCCCTACTTGCGCTCGCCAACCATTCTATTTTGAGTCAAACGCCACCTGGTTTTCAGTGAAATTTTTGCACGATATTCACTATGGCGGACGATCTGGATGCCGAGCTGCTCGCTCTAGCGGGCGACTCCTCTGACGAGGAGTCATCACCTCCCCCCAAGCAGAATTCTGAATCTCCTGCTCCTTCAGCTTCTCCATCATCAGCCATGGCGCGAAAAGGCACAGCAAAACCGATTAAAAGGAGCAAGAAGTCGCGCAATGATGATGAGGGTGATGAGGAGGATGGCGAAGTGTAGGTTGCGGTTTTCTTCGTGCTCATTTTGACCTCAAGTGTGTTCTCTGTGTTCGATGGCTGGGAACTGACAACACTGGCCCCACCAGGTCTGACGCTGGATCTCACCATTCACTCGAGTCCGCCAGCATGTCCGAATCTGACGCCGCCTCCGATTCTGAAGGAGCAAGCGAGGATGCTGAAGAAGATCGTCCTATCTTTCCTTACGAAAAACTTTACTACTCTGCCAAAGACAAAGAGGAAATCATGGCGTTGCCAGAAATCCAGCGTGAACAGATTCTTTCTGAACGAGCGCAAGAGGTCGACCGACGCAACCAGGACCTGGCTCTTCGTCGTCTTTTAGCATCTCGCGAACGTGATGAGGCTCGGCGGGTGAAGAAGTCCAAGCGAAAGGCGAGCGTGGCGGATTTGGAAGAAGGCCAGCGCAAGAGCTCCCGGCAGAAGACCACACTTGGCGGGCGCAAAGTTGGCGAGGCTTCTGAGGCCATTGAGGCATACAAACGTCAGCGTGAGAAGAAGGGCAAGCGCGATGAGCTTCGTCGACGTGATATGGCTGCTGGTGAAGCAGCTCCAGCAAAAGACGAGGCACCCTCTGACAAGGATGCCGAAGGGGAAAGCGAGGTCGAGTGGGATAATCGCGAGCGCTCCCCGTCTCCCCCCAAGGATGACCCGCCTGCGGACCTTCGTGATATCCAACGCGCTCGCGTGGGACGTACCAATTTCGCACAAGTTTGCTTCTATCCTGGATTCGACGAAGCGATCTCCGGATGCTATGCTCGAGTAAATATCGGACCGAACAGAGATACTGGTATCAACGAATATCGTTTATGTTTGATCAAGAGTATGTGGCCAAGTTGCTTCGACCCTAACTGCACCTATAGACCTGCCCTGCTGACCCATTCCAGGATTCACAGAGGGACGACCTTACGCCATGGAAAGCCCGAACGGTCGGTCGTTTGTGACAAACCAGTACGCTGTTTTGGCACATGGGAAAGCAGAGCGCGAATTCCCTTTCATAGCTTGCTCTGATTCACCCTTTACCGAGGTAACTTCCATTTCCTCCATCCTGAAGCTCTCGTATACTAACACCGTTCAGGCGGAATTCAGTCGCTACCGCCAGACCATGGCCGTTGAAGATTGCAAGATGGCCACCAGATCAATGCTTGCCAAAAAAGTCGCAGACATCAACCGTTTAATCAACCACCAGTTTACCAAGGAAGAGCTGAATGAGAAGTTGCGCAAACAAGGCTCACTGGATAACAAGATGCGCACCTTCAAGCGCCTTGAGACCGAGAAGCAGTTGAAGTTGGCTAGAGCTGCTGGTGACGATGAGGAGGTGTCGCGATTGGAGAAGGAGCTGGCGGAGCTGACTGGACCGAAGCTCGCTTTCAGCACCCAACCATCGAAACCTCGCACGGAGAAGTCGGATTATGAGCGCCTCGCCGAATTGAACCTGCGTAATCAGAAATTGAACACAGAAAGTGTGCGTCGTGCCCAGCTCGAGGAAAGAAAGGCGAGCCGGAAAGCTGCTGCAGCAGTTGCCCGTGGTGAAGCTCAAGCCAATCCATTCATGCGCGTTCGGACCCTTGCGAAGACCCATTACGATGCCAACGGAAATAGCCTGATACCGGACTCAATTTCCAGCCGCGGCGGGACTCCTGGTACAGGATCTGACACGCCATCCAAGGCCAGTACGCCTAAGCCTACCGTCACTACACAGAAGAAGCAATCTAAAGGTGGCATTGCGTCGATCCGTCATCGCAATATGGACGACGAGAATATTGCGGCCCTGGACCTGGAGTTGGATATTGAAATCTGATTGTGACCACATCCATCATCTTTGCAATAATTCTCATTGTCGGAAGAGCATGATGAGCGGACAGGTTGGGATTTGGCGATATCTCTGAGGATGGCTTATGGAAAGGACTTTGAACCGGACATGACAGTTTTTGGATTGAACATAGGCAGGTGTTACATCAGACCAGCGTCGGTTTCTGTATTTTTGTCACTACGGGCGGGCTTTAAACATCGGCGTCACACCACACCTAGCATGGGAATTTGTATTTATCACCAAGAATCCATTGAACATTACTAGAAGTTTTCCGTTGGCTACCTCTGGCAGTCCAGTCCGACTTAATTACTTCCAGTTAGGGCAGCAAGATTATCTTATCGAATGTCACGTGTTGATAACAGGGCGTGCTCCACGCGCTTGGACGCGATGCGCGTCGTTGATACAAGCAGAATGGGACTTTCTCCGCCCTGCGTTCGCATTATCGCTCGACACCATACACCCTTCTACTTCATTGCGGAGCAATTATCACGGCCTTCGCTGAAATCACCAATGACCAACTGATATTCTCTGCTATGTGTATCATAATCTAATTACTCCAAACACACTCATGTCATCCCCGTCCACGCCGCGGACGGCGCGCTCCGCGTCTGAGAGTGGCACACCCATCCTTACACCAGGACGAAAGATCAAAGCCATCCTAGCTGCATTCGATAGCGATTCAGAGTCCGATAACGGCAACAAGAATCAGCGAACAGCACGGAAGCCAGATGAAACCATGAATGATGCGGAAAGCGAAGACGACGATGACGACGACATTGTGAAGCCCAAGGGCCGGCTAGCGGCTCGTATGCAAGCCCAGAATCAGACAAGCACTAGTCCACCAGTGACGGGCCAAACGGCATTCGACCGCGTCTCGAAGTTCTTACGAGCCGAAAAAGAGCAATCTAAGAAAGGCGAGGAAGCGCGTCCTGGATCTGCTTCTGTTTCGGAGGACGAGGATGATCTTCCTAAGGCTGGTCCTAGGAGAAGGCGCAATGCAAGAAAGACGCCGGAGCCCGGAGAGGACAACGCGCCTCGCTCACCGTCTCGCGCTCGGTCCTTTTCTCCTCTGTTCATGTCTTCTCCTGCGCCGCAACGCAATGACGCAGTTTCAAACGACGAGGCGGACGACGGCGACGAAGAGGATTTGAAGGCCGATCCTCGCGTGCGCGCGCTCATCATGCAGAAGCGAAAGGAGCGCGAAGAAAAGGAACGACTCGAAGCGGAGAAGAAGGCCGCCCGGCTGGCACAGAGAGAGCAGTTCAGCTCGGAAATCGCCTCGGTCGAGGATAGCGATGAGGAAGAAGCTGGACGCAAGCTAACGCAGAAGCGGCCCGCTGCTCGT